GGCACAATCCCAATAATTAATCGCACAAATTAATTCCAATCAAACCTCAACATCACAGCCCTAATCCAAGCTCCCTAAACCTCAAAATTCTTCGCCTAATCAGTCCGCAACTACCAAATAATCAGTCACTCAAATCAGTCCCGAACAGCCCCTAAAAAAGTCACAAAATCGCCTAAACCGGGTCCAAACTGGGCAGTTGCACAGTGACAGAAATCTATTTGAAATAAATAGTAAACCAACTCCAAAAATTATGAAATTTGAATATATTGTACAAAACATCTCAATGAACATTTTCCGTGAGAACTCGAAACCCAGTTCTAACCGTAAACACCTCGTTTTAACACTCAAAGTCAGATGAAATCCGGTTCGCTCAGACAGCCCCTCAGGCCATCAAAATACAACTCATTTGGTACCCAAATCATTTTGGAAAATCTTGAAATTTTTATGTGTTATAGCCACAAATGTCCCCAACAATTTCCATGAAGGAAGTATTTTGAAAATAGGCCTGGAAAAATTTATAAAAATTCGAACAGACCCGAAGGTCGGGTGAACAGTAAATCGGGCAGTTTTATTTCGGTCCAAAGATGGACTTCCGAATGGAATCAAATGATTTCCAAAAATTCCCAAATTAAAATATGTTATACTTCAAGATGTTGGGAACAACTTTCATGAGAAACCTTCCTCAAATTCGGGCCACACAAGTCACAATAAAAATAACAAAAACCAGCGACGCAGCAGCAACCTAACTGGAAATTAGCCAACACACACCACCGAGCAAACCAGCCATTAAACTCACCATAAACCGAGCCCTAAACAAGCCTAACAATACCCGAGGTCCTAGGCGACATTTGGGGAGGTCACTTACCTAAGAAAGGCGAGACGAACGGGCTGGATGGGTGGCTGAAACGGGCGGAACAGCAGCAGCGGCAGCAGCAATGGGAGGAAATGGCTAAGGAAGAGAATGAAGGAAGAAAGGAGGAGGAAGAAAACGTGGGGAAGGGGCTGCTGTGGGTGGTCTGGTCGAATGGGGCTGGGAGGAGAGAGAGAGAGAGAGAGTCAGCTGGTCAAATATGACAGCCCCAAGTGCCACGTGTCGCGATCCTACGCACTTTGACCATTTTACCCTTGATCCGACGGTCTAGGTTTAACCCAATCCAATAATTGAGGGGCAAAATTGTCCAAGGCCCAATAATGCAGCTAAAAAAACCAATAATAATAATCCCAAATAATTTCCCAAAATTCGGAACTGAAACGGGCCCAGGGGCAAAATGGTCATTTTTCCGGTCCCGGGGCGAAATTCCAATTTTCACACATACGGGTTCCATATGGGTGTGGCCAACATAATATGGCGTCGGAATCGTGAAAATAGCTTCTTAAGCCCTCGAAAATCGACTGCAAAGTCCTGAGAATTAAAATATTACTATTTTTCACTTCCGAGCCAAAATTCCAATTTTTGACCGAAACAACTCTAAATGCGCGTGGCCACCCCAAAATGACACTAGCCTCGAAAAATAACCTCAAACGACCTCAAAATCCAACATCGGTGTCCACGGGGCAAACCGTAATTTTTCCGACCCGAACCGAAATCCATTTTTTGCGAAATGGGTAGCCCCAAGGTTGGCCAAGCCAAAAACGTCATCGGCCGCTCAAAATTGTCACTTTCAAAATTCTCGATTCCCGGGCCCGAATTCCAAGAAATGACTAAGATCGAACAATCGCGACTTTAGCTTATCTCTGGCTAACGGGTGGATCATTGGGATTATGCGCTCTCGACCCGTGACCAACACTAAGTCAAATTACGTTTAAGTTCACTTTACCCGGGACGACCTCGGTTGTCATATAATTGCGAGGGTCTGTCACTAGTGCCCTTCGGACACGATCAATCAAATAGACCGGTCTCGGTTGGCTCAAAACATTCCCTCGTCAATCCATATGGTCGAAGATCGAACCCAGGTCGAGTTCTTTGGTCGTGCGAACTCAATCCCGTAATGGCCTTACCCCTAAGGTTAGCACCCCGAGAATGCGCGGGTCCTGGGTGAGATCTCATTATAAGTGCATTGGCCAAAATATTCATTTCTTAAATCCCAGGAAAAGGATAAAAAATTCAGATTGTTACACTGGTGATATTCTATAAGCCCTAGTGGTGAGCTTCTCCTATCTTGAAGTCCAATATCCTCGGATGGTGATATTCTGTAGGCCTTGGTGGTGAACTTCATCAATGCCGATCATGATCCTTGGTTGGTGGCGCGTCCTGTATACCTTGGTTGTGGTTGTATTTTATCCTACTTTTATTCCATCACCCATTGACATCCATTCCAAAACACTCCGATTCCATCGACATCACTCATAGTGACATTTGCTCATCCCGCAACCGCATTAGTCATGCCATGTGATGAATACCTTTGCCATGTTCCATCTATCAGAGAGCGAACTCTCTTGCATGAGTATGTGTATAAGACTCCGGATAAAGACAGATATTCTACTGTCTAAACATGAGTTTCTACGAGGTTGAGAGGACATGAAGTAGTATGATTCATACGCGAAACATTATGGCTTGTGTAGCCTGATATTGATATGGCTTGCGTATCCCGTAATGGCTATGTAGTCCGATGTGTCTTGTGTAACTTATGATGTGATATTATGAAATAGCATCATGCGGATGTACAGTAGTATATTTATCTTCGCTAATGTAGAGGACACTTATGATAATTGGGCCGAGAGGCATGACCAAGAGGTATTTATGATTTTGTTCCCATGTGTTGGTGGTGATGATTTCTAGTTAGTCGAGATGGTCCTTGCCAATAATGAGTTGGGAATAAGTGAGCTATTATGTGATATTTGCGCATCAAGAGATTGATACATTCATTTGTGTGCATTTGAGTGCGAAACTAGATGTTAGCTCATGGCATCTATTTTATTCATTGCACAAATGATTATAATCAATTTATATAATGTATGATTTACCTCTTAAATGAACTTAAATAATATGTTTGAAAAATGTAAGTGAATCCTTGTTGTTTAAAGTAAGTTGATCTCTTATCACTATAGTGCGCAAGCGATGAGGAAATTTGACATTGGGTTAGTTAATGCTTGTAATGGCTTTTATGAATATTGTTGGTGGAATATATGGGACCTTGATAGATCTGTGAACCTATAACCTATGTTATGATACATGATCACAAAATACGAAATGGTTAATATGTTAGATTGGGACTGAAATACAAATTCTTGAATCATATACAATACATGTAGGTAGTATTCTTTGAGTGAACTAATTATTCTATGAGCATATAAACAATAAAGGGATAAGTTTAGTATGTATTTACTCTTGCCAAAGTGATTGGTTTTTTAAAAATTATAGTGATTCGTAAAAGTAATACGTGATAACTTGTTGGTTGTATTATGTTGTCGTGCTCCTAGGTCAAGTGGTAAGATATTTTCCTACCTTAAACCTAGAAAATTCATTTACATTAGATTAGCGCTTTCAAAGATGGATTGACAATTGGATCAAAGTGCACAACAAGAGTATGGGAGAACATTTCGTATTGGGAATCTTCGATTATGTATAGAAAAAAAAACGAAAATTGTATATTTTTGTTTGAGGTTAAATTATACGAAAAATTGAGGTCGTGACCACGACAACCTCATATTATAAAATCCTTATCCAACTTAAAAGCAGGAATGCAAATTCAACATGGAATATATTTCCATGATTTTGCCTCCTCCAAAGATTAGGTAACAAAGTCAACTTTGTTTTTTTTTTTTTATATCGGTTGAATCGTCACACACTTTGATTCTAGTCAGCTTTCGTTCATAGGCTCAAACTCGATTGTAAATATATATATTTACAATCTCCACTACTTGACGTTTACAAGTTACAATCATTTTACTGGAATCAACCTTGCCATTCTCCCATAGCTCCGCATTGGTTTCTCAACCAATAGAGGCGCCTTCCATATTTAATCTGCACTTGGAATTTTCTGTAATCGTAAATGGCAAACGCCGTGCCCGGCATGCAATTTGGCGAAGAGAAATGCTTACGTGACAATTCTTAATCTACTGCGAGAATAACAATATGTTTTGGGCCACAAAATATATATAAAATAATTAAAAATTGCTGTGGATTCCACTTTTTCAAGAATTTGTGGCTCATAACAAACTGTTATTTTAATAGTAGCCCAAAAACTGTTACACTAGCAAAGCCCATTTACGAAATCCTCAAGAGTGAGGCTTCGAGCTGTCTTTTTCAGTGTTTGTGCCCCTCCTTATTAGAGGGAAACTTCTAAGGACAGCACTTTTCATGAGGAGAAAATTTGTAGGCCGTCCCTTATGTCCAACTTCCTTTTAACGATATATACCATGTTTGACTGATTAAATTAAAACCTCAAAATTGTGATTGGTATGGGCTTGAGATAGTTTGCGCTAAGTGTCTGCTTAGTAATCCATTAACTTTCTCTTGGTAATTCATCTTTGGAAAGGGCGACAATGACGCTTTGAAAGTTGTCTCCGATCAGATAGGAATAGACGTTATGCTTCATGCAACCGAAGTTGAGTGATGCGTAGCTATGAAGGAGCTAGAGGCGACATGACTCGAGCTGAGGTCAGGCATGGAGCAGAGCTGGAGTTGGCGAGAAACTCGTGGAGTCTAAATTAATTAAAAGCATGGAATGTGCTTTAGCGATGTACGTTTATATTCGTTACAGCACTTGACCCTTCTTTCCCTTCTATTTATTAACCTCTCTGCCCATTCAAAGCATCGCCATCGCACCTGTCACTGCCCCCACACCTCTCAGGTGATCATATGCCATTGTCATCTTGTCGTTCTCGCTTTTTAGCTTTAACACTGTTTGTTTCGACTTTTAAGCTTTAGCCTCGTTCACGTTTCTCTTTCGCGAGAAATGAGCGAGCCCACCACGGAAACAAGCACCAGAGATCGATCTTACCGGCTCATAAGTTTTCGTGTTGCGTGGGCTTGGAGTGTTATAAATAGGTCACAAGGGACCTGCAGTTTATGCTCCCCACAAGCCTTCCTCCTTCACTTCACTCACTCCCTTGAAACCCTTAAACTTTCTCTGCTTTCTCACGTTCTTTCTTCTTTTTCCCTGCGCATGGAAATGGCCGGAAGCAACAGCTTCATGACCAGTTTACTTGCCCTTCTCGATCACGACAAGTTCATGAAAGATGTCGAGAGCAAGCCATGCTGTAGGACAGAACAAGTTAATGTCAAGTGTTACTTGAATCTCGTCGAGAAAATCCTCAACCAAGCCATGGCCACTGTGGATGATGTTGCTAAGAACACTCAGCCAAAGGTAGATTAGCGGGCAAGCAAATTCAGCAACATGCTCTAAGTCTCTTTTCCATTTACTTGTCAGTAGTAAATTTTCTTCTCAATAAATGCCAAAAACCTAAACCTAACTGGTTCATGGGATTTACAAGGTATTCCCTGGACTTTTAGGTGGCTAGCCTCTGCTTTCGTGCCCTTGAGTTACCACCCAAAAAAAAGAAAATATATTCAAAGTTTTGGATGATTAGTTTCCACGGTTAATTGGATTGTTCTTAACGCGTGATAGTTTTTCGTGGCAATATTTCTTTGCTTCTCAAATTGATTCCAGGTTTCGCTCTTGTCCAGCTAAAGTTTATAAAGATACACATTACATACTCTTATGTTCATAATATTTCATGATTAGGACTCACAAGCGAATTCATTTTTCCAGGGTGACCAATGTCAAAGCAAAAGCTCAACCTCGCTTTCTTTAGAGACATCTATTCCTTTGTCATCCACCATCAACGAACTATGCTATCAGGTAATCTCATATTGAGAGAGCTATTCCTCTCTCACAAATGCGGGAGCTCCAGACCTTTTTAGGTTTCTTTTTAAATGACTTGAAGATTAGAAAATTTGCATATTATATACAATTGATATTAAAGTAAAAGCTACCTTTTCTGCAGCGCTAAAATTGTTCATTTTATCAGAAAAAGATCAAATTAAATACTTTGTCGCGTCCTTTACTATGGTATCCTTCTCGATCTTGTTACTTCCCACATTCAAAGTCGAAAACTACGTACCCACGACAGATTACTTGCAAGGCCCGGACCAACGATGTGCACCAAACAATGGCATCGCTTTTCAACATGTTGTCATCCTTTTCATGGGATGCCAAAGCTGTGCTGACACTCCTAGCTTTATCAGTGTACTATGCCGAGCATTGGCGTCTCGCTCAAATTGAAGAGTCAGACGATCTTTTAAGCATAACGGCGATGTTGAGAGGGTCACATGCAATTGGTAAGTCCTCCAACACACAGCGGATCAAGGCTTTTGTGACGCTTAATAATCTGATCAAGGTGACTTTGGAGTTCACCAAGTGCGCTGTTGAGTTTATGAACTACTCCAAAGATTTTGGAGAATTCTCAGCATCAATCGACATATCAGCCCGTTTTTATTACATCATTGTCATCGTACTTGGCTGCTCAGTTCAGTTCAGTGGCTTGATTAGCATGAGCAATGAGTATGTTATAACCTTACCTTTGCTTTTGACTACCTTTGTTAACAGACTTGGAATTCATTCCAAGCTCTCTCTCTCTCTCTCTCTCTCTCTCTCTCTCTCTCTCTCTCTCTCTCTCTCTCTCTCTCTCTCTCTCTCTCTCTCTCTCTCTCTAACTGTTTCACATCAATGTTCAATATATTTCTTGATGACTTCAGGTTCCTAGGGCAAGATCTGTGGACCTTCTCGGACCGGGTCACGACAAAATATGAATCCTTCAAGAAAGAAGTGGCAAATCTCAGAGAAAAGCACTGTAAGATCATCATTTGTTTTCAGACAAAATGTAGTTCTCATCATGGGAGGAAGCGTTCATGCATCTCCGCCAGATTCCTTTTTGTGTAGCCAGATTTTCTCTGTCAGATCTATTTATGGAATTTAGCGATTTACATTATGCAGCGGAGCAAATTTCATATGAGAAGATTAAGAAACTTTCCAAACATTGTACTGATATTGTGGAGCTTATGGCTGCGCTGTTTTGCACCAAGAACGATTTTTCAACAGTTTATCAATGTTGCAAGAGGAAAGCGGTTAGCTTCTCAGCCGCGAAAATTTTCAGTGACCTTTGATTACTGGTCATTACCGTATATCAATGTCCCGAGAAGGGAATGCACATCCACTTACTAATAATTAACTGAATTTGAAATTCTTAAATATTTCTTTTGTTGGCATTCAAAATGGAAAAATAACAGCATGGTCTTTGATCACTACATGTTATAGGTAAAGGTGGAGAAGTTCAAGGACAAGATTGTGATGCTGCTTATTTCGGACTTGAACTTGTTGGATGAAGATCGAGAAACCCTTACCAGCATCTACAGTGAGTGCACCTTCCAATGTAGTAACTACAAAATTATGTGGGTTCCTATTGTGGAGGAACATCACGAGGTGATGCAGAAGAAGTTCCTGGACAAGAGATCTGAGATGCGTTGGTACACAAGCAACTCCATCGTCAGCAAGCCAACAGCAAAGTTCATCCGGAAGAAGTGGCAATTTAGGCAGCAGACTAAGGTTGTCGTGCTGAACCAACAGGGGAAGGTGGTGAACATAGATGCAATGGCGATGATACGCCTTTGGGGACAGGAAGCCTTCCCTTTTACGGAGTCAAAAGGCCAGGAACTCTGGAACAGGCAAGGGATCAACTGGTTCAAGCTCGTGGTGAACAACATGGTCTTCCCTGATGTCGAACAAAGCGTAAGTTACAAATGCAATATGATTTTGATTATCTAGACCACATTTTCATCACCCATCTCTAGATGGTCGGATCTCCCTCCTCTCAGGCTTCTAATTGGCGTGTTACAAATTTGGACATGCCACTTGCATATATTTTTACTTTGGTTCACATTTAGGTGATGCCGCGCAACCGAACAATCACAATCTAGTTGGAGATCTTCTTCCAAGTAGGGAAAAAAAGAAGACTCTAATGGTTTAGTCTTTAACACGCTCGACCGAGCACAAACTCGCACACTATTGGCAAAAGGAAGTAGAAGAAGCGTCTATTATTACAGACTTTATTTAAAATTCACCTGATCTAAAAATTTAGATACGTCTAACGTCACACGTATCGAATTCACGCAGGAATCATTCGCAAGATATATATTAAAAACTTTCTGATTTAATCAACTTATAATCTTGTCCTTTCAACATGGCCTGTGTCTTAATTGTTGGCCAGTTTGAAAGGGAAGAGCTCATATTCTTGTACGGCTCGGCTGAGGACACCCAGACTGTCCAAAAAATTGAAAAATACCTGAGCGAGATCAACGGCTACTTTGGCCCCTACAAGGCCCTCAACATCAACACCAAGAGAGAGAAATTCCTGACCCGCCTCGAGAGCTGCCTGTCCTTGAAGATGCAGGCCAGTTCGGACGTCTATGATTCCCGAGCACAGGAGCTGCTCGAGCTCTACACCAGTTACAAGCAGTGCGGTGGGTTCGCTGTCATCGCAAGAGGGTCGAGCGTGGTCATCAACACTCTTCTCATGGATTTCGAGACAGTGCTGTCGCAGCACCAGAAGTGGGTGACTCAGGCACAGGCTTTCGAGGCCGGCTTCAAAAGGTACTATGAGGAGGTCGTCAAAAAGCCGAGCTGCCACCGTTTTTATATCCCGAACGTAGTCGGCAACATACCGGAGTGCATCAAGTGTGCCAAGTGCTCTCGGTACATGAAGACCGCCGTTACCTTCGAGTGCTGCCATGGTGACCAGCCGATGAGGCCAACTTGCCCGACGCCTTCGTTTGGTGCTCATGGATTTCGAGACAGTGCTGTCGCAGTAGCAGAGTCGGTAACATACCGGAGTGCTGTTGCAGAACCAGCGTCGGCAACATACTGGAGTGCTGTCGCCGCAGCAGAGTTGGCAACATACCGCAGTGCATCAAGTGCGCCAAGTTGAAGACCGCCGTCACCTTCGATTGCTGCCACAGTCACATGCCGATGAGGCCGTTTGGCGTCAGGCAAGATGGCTTTTCCACTGCCATAGCAATGTTCTGGACTTCTGTTTACAGCTCATCTCCAGCAATATTTTTTTTTGTCAACTTGTTGCTTGCTTTCACATTCTTGATTTTCTCCACCGCCATTGACTTCCACAGCTCGCATTTCTTGCTGCTCCGTCCATCTAGAGTAGTCTAGATTGGACTAGAGATTTCTTTATCAAAAATAGATCACAATTTCCAACTGATAATATCGAGAGCTTTTACTGTTATTTCCATCTCCTACGATCATTTCCATTTATTCCATGACCTTCTTCTATTTGTTAGAGCATATAAATCTCAAATTAGGCTTCATCTAATAATTTAACCTTTTAAAATACTCGATAATTGTTTCATGAAATTTTACACAATCCCCCGTTCATCCCGTAGCTTGACGGATTTGGCCGACCCTAGACTCTCATTGTCGAAATATCTCAACCATCGTCGGTAAAATAAGATAGATCAAACATATCATGCATGGATATCCTGACTGTTTTTTTCCTCAAGGTCACACACAGCCAAGCCAAATCCATTCCAGCGTGAAGCTTTGTCAGCTTCTTCTCTTGGGCAAAATACACCGGATCTAGCCAAATACTTGATTGAAGGCAAATGTCTCGCCACACATGCACAGCTTAGTCCATATCCGGTTGTCCACTATGAACCTTGGTGACAACACATGCTCTCACGATCCCCAAAGGCGACCACAGCACACAGATAGAAACCGTAGCGACTCCGATCCAAAATTGGCTGCACTCGGTGCATTAGGCCCAGTGGAGCCAATAGGATGGATCACGTCGAGGCCATCCTAAACTCACACGATCCGACGGATCACCTGCACTCGGCTTATATGCTACAACAGTGCAGCCAATTAGTTAACATGTGAGTGAGGACTATTAGGGTTTGACGGCTCTGTGCTCTCTAGTGTCTTCATGAAGAGTGTCTGAACGTAGTAAATTGAAGTCCTTTGTTAAGTTTGCACGTATGGGCTATAGATTCAGCACTTATTTTCTTGTTAATGTGTAGCGATAAAACACTGTTTATAATGCTCCGTTTATTTTGTGGAAAATAAACGATTTGAAAAACATTTTTCTAAAAATGATCATTTGTATCGTTTGAAATAATTAGCCAATAAAAAATGTATTCATTATCAACAATAATTTATGTCTTTCCATTCATCGTTTTTGTAAGCAATAGGAGCAATCTGTTTTTAGAAAAAATGTTTTTCAAATTATATATTTTTGAGATAATTAAATTCTTCAATTAATTAAACCAAGAGAGCCTTACACAAGGTGTGATAATGCGCCATCTATCACCACATCCTTGAGATTGGAGTCCATATGCGGTCCACTGAGAACTTTTCATTTGTGATTCACTAAAGAAATCGCTCTCTAATTTCGGAATCAATATGTTCTATCTTGACTTGCACTATATATGTAAATATGACTATGTGAAGCCGGAAAGAGGGTAGAGAAATAGGAGGTAAAACAAGTCAGAACTTAAATAGATAGGTCACTCGCCACCCATAAGAATACACCTAAGGGACAAGAGCAACAAGAAAAACTTCTTGTTCTCAAGCCAAAGCTTAAATAATTTATGAATCAACCAAATCTTTTATTTTTATTTATCATAGCATGCTTATATAATTTGAGCATGGAACAACCCTCCAAGCATGAGTAATTTCCTACACCTATTGGAAAGACAAAACCTAATAAAGTCCTAGAAACTAGAACTTTGATTCTTGGGATAACAACAATGGGGAGTGCCATAACATTCGTATGGCGATCACTTGAGTGTCATCATTTGTTTTTTCTCACTTAAGGGTCACAAATTTGAAAAATCAATCACTTAAGTGCCATCGGCGATTTACCTCACCGGAAAATTCGACGTGGACATGGTCATCTTACATATCAGCATCGGTGCCGACGGGGATAATTGTAACATCCTGAATTTCGACCCATTTCCGGGATCCGCCGAAGTGGATATTATTTCTCATCTGATTTTAGTACGTCTCGCCCGGAGCTGGCCCCTCGCGGGATACTGACCAATGGGAAAGGCTAACTAGGAAAACGGTACGTGGACCGGGGACACTGTTTATAATGCTCCGTTTATTTTGTGGAAAATAAACGATTTGAAAAACATTTTTCTAAAAATGATCATTTGTATCGTTTGAAATAATTAGCCAATAAAAAATGTATTCATTATCAACAATAATTTATGTCTTTCCATTCATCGTTTTTGTAAGCAATAGGAGCAATCTGTTTTTAGAAAAAATGTTTTTCAAATTATATATTTTTGAGATAATTAAATTCTTCAATTAATTAAACCAAGAGAGCCTTACACAAGGTGTGATAATGCGCCATCTATCACCACATCCTTGAGATTGGAGTCCATATGCGGTCCACTGAGAACTTTTCATTTGTGATTCACTAAAGAAATCGCTCTCTAATTTCGGAATCAATATGTTCTATCTTGACTTGCACTATATATGTAAATATGACTATGTGAAGCCGGAAAGAGGGTAGAGAAATAGGAGGTAAAACAAGTCAGAACTTAAATAGATAGGTCACTCGCCACCCATAAGAATACACCTAAGGGACAAGAGCAACAAGAAAAACTTCTTGTTCTCAAGCCAAAGCTTAAATAATTTATGAATCAACCAAATCTTTTATTTTTATTTATCATAGCATGCTTATATAATTTGAGCATGGAACAACCCTCCAAGCATGAGTAATTTCCTACACCTATTGGAAAGACAAAACCTAATAAAGTCCTAGAAACTAGAACTTTGATTCTTGGGATAACAACAATGGGGAGTGCCATAACATTCGTATGGCGATCACTTGAGTGTCATCATTTGTTTTTTCTCACTTAAGGGTCACAAATTTGAAAAATCAATCACTTAAGTGCCATCGGCGATTTACCTCACCGGAAAATTCGACGTGGACATGGTCATCTTACATATCAGCATCGGTGCCGACGGGGATAATTGTAACATCCTGAATTTTGACCCATTTCCGGGATCCGCCGAAGTGGATATTATTTCTCATCTGATTTTAGTACGTCTCGCCCGGAGCTGGCCCCTCGCGGGATACTGACCAATGGGAAAGGCTAACTAGGAAAACGGTACGTGGACCGGGGACCCGATCGCGAATCGGGCGCCGATTCCGAGAAACGGCAGGGAAGTATTTTGGGCCAGTGTGGACCGATTCTGGGAAGGTGACGGATCTAGTTTGGCCAACGACGTATGATCGGATCGCGGGTGATTCTGCTCGACCGAGAGTGCGCGTGGCAAATAAATCCCGAACCTGAATCGAACGATCGTGACCCCTGGAATAATCAATAATTCCTTGCGCTATCCCGGTAATCGAGACCGTCACGACTCGAGTGACCCTAGGTCGATACGCGTAACCCCTAAACAGCCACCCGTCAGTAAGAGGCTCTAAAATTCTGAATTGAGCAATTTTGATCGCCAAATTGGACCCGAACTTCGATGTCGAAATTCTATGGGTGTTTGCGACTATTTTGCAAGGCCAACGTCGTTTTGGTGTGGCCACATACATTTGGGGCTAGTCCAGCTGAAAATTGGAATTTCAGCCGAAATTGGAAAAATTACAATTTTACCCCTTTGGATTCCGACGTCGATTTTCGAGGTCGTATGAGATTATTTTTCGAGGCCGATGCCGTTTAGGGTGGCCACGCATATTTGGAGTGTGTACGGTCGAAAAATGGAATTTCGACCTGGAAGTGAAAAATTTACTATTTTGCCCCCCAGACTTTGAAGCCGACTTTCGAGGGCTTAAAAGATTATTTTTGCGAATCCGACATCATATTATGTTGGCCACACACATTTGGGGTTGGTACGATCGAAAAATGGAATTTCGACCCGGGACCGGAAAATTACCGTTTTGCCCCTAGATCCTGTACTGGGTATTCCGAATTTTGGATAATTTTGGGCAATAATTGAGGATTAAAATAAGTGAATAAGGAATTGGAATTATTGAATTACCCATTTGCCCCTCAATTATTGGATTGGGCTAATTATGGACCGTTAGATCAAGGGCAAAATGGTCCGAGGGCTAGGATCGCGACACGTGGCACACCTTTTTGACCATAAAAGACCCCTTTGACCCATTTCTCTCTCTCTCCTCCCATTTCCTCCCCCATCAGCCGATCATCTTCCCCCTCCCACGCCACTTCCTCTCTTTCTTTTTGTTTTCTTTTGGTTTGGCCGTGAGAGGCCCCCGCCGGAGGAACCGCTCGTCGGAGTGCCGTCGCGCGCGAGAGGAGCGCCGTTCGCCGCCACCACCCTCACCGACTAGAACCTCTGCCGTGAGCTGCCGAAACGCCGCCGCCGATTTCGCCGTTTACCGGCAATCGACCGCCCGTTCCCGTCGATTAGAATTTTGGAGAGTGTAAATAGGTTTGTGGAAATCCTAACCCCTAATTAGGATTATGTGCACTTTGGACAAGTTTTAGGGGCAATTAGTGGGGGCTGATTTGGGCTGATGTTGTGGTGATTTTAAGGGCCTAAGGTGATGATTTAGGGATGGTTTTAAGGCTGTGGAGACTTGATTTAGAGGTTGTATGGGTTGGATTTGCTTAATGGTGCAAGATTAATGATTCTCGGATTACTGATTTTACTGTACCTTTGCGCTTTGTTATTTTTTTTGTGATCATTGTGGGCCGAATCTGAAGAAGTGTTCATCATGAAAATTGTTCCCAACATCTTTAAATATAACATACTTTAATTTGGGAATTTTTGGAAATCATTTGAGGCCATTCGGAAGTCCATCTTTGGACCGAAATGAGTCTGCCCGATTTACTGTTCACCCGACCTTCGGGTCTGTTCGAATTTTTATAAATTTTTCCAGGCCTATTTTCAAAATACTTCCTTCATAAAAATTGTTGGAGGACATTTGTGGATATAACATATAAAAATTTCAAGGTTTTCCAAAGTGATTTGGGTACTGGATGAGATGCATTTTGATGGTCAGGTGGCCTGACCGGACGGGTTGATTTTTGTCTGACTTCTAGTGACAAAACGAGGTGTTTACGGTTAGAACTGGGTTTGGAGTTCTTCACGGAAAATGTTCATTGAGATGTTTTGTACAACATATCCAAATTTCATAATTTTTGGAATTAATTTAATATTTATTTCAAATGGATTTCGGTCACTGTGCAACAGCCCAGTTTGGACCTGATTTTGTATATTCCCGGTTTTCTCTGTGACATTCCGAAATTTCCGCCAAT